TTGCATTTTACATATGAGATCTTCCACTTTCATCAGCCTTTCTCTGTAAGCAGTGAAGTCTATGGGATTCAAAATGATTAAACCAAAGCATTTGTGGAATACAATCGGATAATTTGTGATTTTAAATAACCATTGATAAATGTATATTTCAATTACAAATATGCGGAAAATTTACTCTTTCATCTTTTTCTCCTCATCATCCGCACTTTCGATAGCTTTTTTATCTTCATCAAGCTTTTCCAACAATTTATCTGCTTTTTTCATCATCTTGTTGACACGTGCTCGAAGTAGTTTAGCCCCCCTAGGCTCTTTTAGATCTTTCATTAATGAATCCAGTTCTTCTAGATCCTAAAATAAAATCTCAGCCGTTATTAAGAAAGAGAGATGAAAAAAGTTCTGTGTTACTGTGTTATGTTTTACAGACTTTCGAATGAGAAAAATAATAATAATAATAATAATAATAATAATAATAATAATAATAATAATAATAATAATAATAATAATAATAATAATAATAATAATAAAGATAGAGAATAATAGATAATATTAACCTCATTGTGCTCGCTAATTTGTTCTTTCAATTCTTTAATGTCATACTTTACTTCTGAAATCGCATTGCCATGGATAACATTTTCTATTGACTGCACATGTTCCTGGAAAATATTTGAAGATTAAGATCATATACGGTATGGAAAATTATTATGATTCGAATATACCAGAAAAAGCGAAAAAATCGATGTGAAGTATTGGTATATTTCGGAAAAAACGAAGGAATGATAAAATAATTTCAGATCTAAATTCTAAAAAAAAAATTCCACATCTGAATTATTTTGCCACTTTTTATTTCCAAACTTTGTTTTCAATACAATGATTAATCATCCCTTACTTCATCAATTGGCAATTTACTGGCTGAATCCATGTCAGTCCTCATTTCTTGAGGTGTTATTGGTTGCGTGATTTCTAAAACTGTAGCTTTGTCTGGGCTGGGTGATTCCACAGAAAGTTCAGGCACAGCTTCAACTTTTGCACTGACTGCTGCTTTTGCTGCTGCTTTGGCTGCTATTTTTTCCTCCTCAGCTTTCTGAATAATCATAACATCACTAGGATTAGTCGATAAGCCATGACTGATATGAAACACGTTTTTCGAGAAATTACGCTGCATATCAGGCTTGATTTATTACATTGAATTGGAAATGCTTTCAAATTGTTCTAAACCACGAGGAAAGACAGATTTGCATAAGATAAGATAAACATAAGGAATAATGAACCAACTCTTTGATATCTGCAACCTTTCATAATAACTTTGCAATGCGGGTTTAAAGAAAAGCATACAACAGGAAAAAGCAACAAAGAAGAAACAAACTACTGACTTTAGCTGCCTCCTTCTTTTCGGCTTCTTCCATCGCTTTTCTTTCAGAATCGATGGCTTTCTCAATATTTTGTACAAGCCGAAGTCTCGCTCCATAACTTACTTTATCACCTTCAATCTCTGCCAAATTCTGGCGAGTTTCCTCAGCGATATCTAAAAGTTTTAGCCGCAGTTGAACCAAAAAAAAATTCAAACTTCGTAGCTCAACGCAAATCCCACTGAAAACGATGATCTAAATGAGAATAAATCTTAGACATAGAATAAAACTTACTATCTGGTAAGCTTGTTATTAGTGCTTTCAAACGATCCACAAATGTGATATCTTCTGGCAGATAGATAGTGCGCGATAAGAGCAGCAGTGACGGTGGTACTTTATCATTAAGGGATAATTCCAGCCATTGTTTTAACTCAAATATTCGTATATCTTAGTATTACCAATAAATTTTAAGACGAATTGTGATAAAAGATGGGATGCTCTTCGGAAACTTAAAAATTCGACTAAAGAAATAATTTTTACCTGTTCTTTAAGGCGCTCTTCATTCATCCCCAGTGAACGCATTCCACGTGCTCTGCATGCCTGTTGTAGCTCAGGCACTGTTAACATATCCACTCCACCTTCCAAAGCTATTTCCTGAAAAAAAAAAACTAAAAGAATTGCAAATTTCTCACGAAAAATTCTCTTTTCTTACTAGTAATAATATTCATAAGAAAAATCTATAAAATAGAAATCTTCCAATCCTTTTTATTTTTTACGGAACTTTATATCTAAAATTTCGAGCGAAAAAAAAGTCAAAGTCGATATATTTCCAACGTACATCTAAAAATAGCTCAATGAGCATAGTAAAAACAAAGGAAAACAAAAAGAAAAAAAAACAATAAAAGACTGAGGGAATATCGCCAATCATATTTGAGAAGGCTATATAAGTTGATATCACGATGTGCTGTTACATCAGAAAAGCAAACATCAACGAATAGAGGATTATTCCGATGTTACTATAAAAAGTGACACTGCAAGTTCTTGCAAATGTTACAGCAATACCTGATCATCTGCTCTTAAAGCTCGCAACTTCAACGATAACTGAAACCGGATAATTTCAAGTGAACCGAATGGTTGAATATTCAGAAGACGACATAATGCCCGGAGTGTGTTAGCTGGCAAATTATCCAACGTAAGTTCATCTTCAAATAGCTTAATATACTTCAGAAGATCCTTGTTGTTAACGTAACTTCCTTCTGAACGCACCTGAAATTGAAAACCATAATAATCTTGCATATAGTATTGCGTACAAGCTTAACTGAAATGATAGTACTGGTAGTCAACAAGGATTCTTAACAGCAAAATTTTCTGCAAATTTTCTCTGAAATGATAGAACTGAAAAATTTCGTTAGTACTAACTTGAATGCACATAATACATATAAGATTTATCTCACGGATGCAAACCTTCTTTATAAATTCTGCAAATTCAACAGCAATGCTGGCTGTCTTATCATCATCCTTAGCATTTTTCTTTTTATATAAAGCCATTTCTTCCATGGCAGCTTGCAGCAGTTTCGCTGTTTCCAGTTTTGCCTTCAATTTTCTTCGTAATTTCTCCTCCTGCAACAAGAGTGAATTTATTCTTAAAAATTCCATAAAATAATGGCGGAGCTGCTGGTAAACTGCTACGATAATCTGGCATAATATATTTTTAAGAACTTTGTTCTAAGTAGGGTAAAACTATTTTGACGCTTCATCTACCACATTAAATCCATATTTTAGTGAAAAAAGGAAGGAAAAAAAAAGAATCCTGGATAGTTGTTACCTCCACTACTGTATATGTGAACTAATTTCTTGAAGCTCACTGAAATATCGGCCAGTAATATTTTGGCATTTACTCGCTCCAAAAAAAAAAGAAAAGAAATTGGCAACACGTCAAACTTAACAAAATTAGTTCTTTTTTAAGTGTGAAAATATAACTCGATTAATTTTTTAGGAAAAAAAGGAAATCAAAACAGTATAAAAGGTAAATTACCTCTTTAGTAGCATCCTTGAATGTACTTGGTAACATATTCGGGAATAATTTTAGGAAGAAAGGTAACGTAAATTCCAGAAAAGGTACAATGACGAAAGCAGAAAATGGAATCAATCGTAGCACATCGGAGAGCGTTCTCACCAACTGTTGCCTCTCACGACGTAATAGCGGTTTTCTGCGTAGGAATCTCCACAGATATTTGGCACTTAATCGCATTTCCAGGAATAACAATCGGAACCCATGATAATAATGTTTGCAGCCTTCTTTGAGAGCTCTTGGCCATCGTATATATACAGGTTCCAGAGTTATTTGCTGCTTCGCCTTCTCTATCATCTGGAATGCTGCATTTTTTGAAAAGAAAAAAAATGGAAATTAGACAACCTTGAAATTTTAGTGAATACGTAAGCTTTTTTGAACATATGTTGAAATCAACAGTAACTGTTCATGTCCTGGATCAAATAAATGACAATGTGACGTTACATTTAGGAAACTCATACACCATCGATGACATCCTGACTATGCAATCTTGATATTATTGGACAGCTTCCTGCATAATATTTTCTGGAAAATCCCAAAACCATCCTCTGAAGGTCTTTAAATTACCTTGAAAACTTCTTTTATTGCGTCCAAAAGGTTGAATGGTTTATATCTTGCCACATTTCGAACCCCATCCCTAATATAGTTCCAATCAGAGATATCTTAGAGTTCCCTTAAACTTCTAGAGAAGAAATTCCGGAAGCATCGCCGAATTTCATGGCCAACTTTATCGAGTTTAATGCAGTATGGCGTATTTTGAAAATGTTAATTTTAGTAAGTCAAACTTCATATTTCAGTAAGGACACTATTTTCATATACATCCCATACGATACTATTTTTTTTTCGGAACTAACAAGGCATTTAGTATAACACAGCCAGTGCTAAAAAAAAATTTATAAAAGTCAAGTTACTGTTTAAATGCATTTAGAAAAGCAATTTTCTACACAACAAAAATTTCACCAAAATTTGGTGTTAGCCATTTCAGTGGAGACCAACCTGTTTACGTGCCTGGCCTTCCTTCTCCTCCAATGTCGCTTGCTCCTTCAATCTCTTCAATGTTTCCTCCAATTTACTCTTGTCATATAAAAACTGTACACAAGATCTGTGAAGATTCCGTGTCTCAATTTCATAAACTCCAAACCTTACCAAACAATTTCTTCGTCTGAAAAACATTTTAATTAAACTTCATCAAATTATTAAACATAAATAATTTCAGTGATTTATTATTCTGTAAAAGAGAATAGGTAAAACAACGTAGCGCAGATTACCTGAGAGAGTATATTGGTTTTCTGGATGTATAGAATGCCAGATTACAGGCTTGTCGCAACAACATGATAAACAATGTTGCAACTACCAGAAACTTTTTAATACCTGAATCAAATCATTAACAATGTTTGTATGAATCCAATAATTAATGAAATATTTTCTGCCGTAGAATAAAATGTTCATTACAATCGTCATCCATTTATTTAGATATTATCCTACCAATGCAATTAATAATGATAATTCAAAACATTTTGCAATATCTACAATATCCATTCCTCTTTCTCAAGCATCCATAATACATAACTATTCCATTGCTATTTTCATAGCGCAAAGTAAACAGCATAAATCCCTAATTTTTCAATTTTTCGTGTAAAATTTAGTTTCAGAACTGGAAGTTCAAAGTTCAACAGAGATATTTTTTATTTGTAGTTTCAACCGCTAATTCTTGTAATTAATCATCAATAAGAATATCACTGCTGTTATCTAATTAGCAACATCACATAACGGTTAGATTATAATATCGCATACCAATCCATGTCCCAATCATTTTTTTCCCTAATTTGGCTGCTTATAATTGACATAACTTGTAAATGTTACTATGCATTAATATATGATGTTATTTGCATGGATGTGATAAGATACAGCAAATTAATCTCTTCAAATTTAGTTTCGAAAAAATCAATATAATGTTAGGAGATGTTGCCATGCTTGTTGTTTAATCGTCATAAATTAGCTAAGTCTCGATTACTGTCTTGATATATTCTGCACCATTTCATCTGATTTGAAATTAAATTCTCTTAATTTCATCCTTTCTTTTTCATCCTCACAGTTTCCCAAAATTCATTGAAATAGTCATACTTTGATATTTAATAAGGGTATTTTACGAAGTTTTCTCAGTTTGAACTATTCTATCACCTAAAATTCAATCTTTTTTATAGCATTCCAATGCTATTATCGTTCTCTCTGTATATGATTGTTTTTGAAAAACTAAATTTTAGACAGATCCATTTTCTATACTTATTACATCTATGCAAATAACACTGCCAATATCGCACATAGATCTCGTTAGTTCGCTGGATTGAAGCAGAAAGAGAAGAGTAATATTGATGTTCCATCGAGACAGTGACCTATGTTGAAGTGTACGGCTTAAAAGAAAGTGTTTGAATTGATGTTCAACTTACCTGTTGGAAAGTGAATATTAAATAACAGGTTGATATTTGATATTATGAGTGCTAGGAAGAATTGTGAGAAGGAATAAGAATTTAGTGATAAACCTCAGATTAGGGAATAATAATTTAATAAGAAAGAGTCTGACCATCATCCAATAATCATGAATGTTTTATGAGATCAATGCTGAGATAGGAATATATTAGAAGGTAAAAGAAAGGATGAGACTGAAAATTTCATTTGAAACCAATTAGAATTACACAAAATATATCAGAGATGTTAATCGAGACTTGATTTGTGGTAAAGGTTCTGTAATGATTTGCGACAGTTATGTAGTTGATTTGCTATATTGAGAATCTTTGATGCAAGATGGCATGCGAAATTATGCGTTTCTTATAATGGAAGGTAGAGGACAGGACGTAAACTCTTAAGTTATGGGACAACAGAGTGTAAATTCTGAGGATTCCCAGGGTTCCGAGAATTCTCGGGTGAGTTTTTTTCGTTTTAAACTTTTCTGTTTCAACATAAACATTTACATGTTTTTACAACATCTATCGTAGCTTAACCTGCAAGTATTGTTGCATGCACTTAGGCAGTACATTTTAGTGCATTGTTTAACGTAGTAGTTCCCAACTGTGGATCGTTGGTGCTCTACGAGCACTAAAATTTGAACTGCGAGGGCGGCAGTGTGGTGAATGAAAAGCATAAAAACGGACAAGTGGCTGTTTTGGTTTATATTTCAATATTGCTGTAAGTTTAGCTAACACGTCAAAAATTTCGATTCAAGTACATTTTTAGATAGAATTTATTTTTGGGATTGATAATCCATGCTACAAATAAAGAAGCAAGGTAATTTCTATTCAAGAGAAGATTAAGAACCACAAGTTCAACGGAAAATTTTTACATGAAAAAATAATCGAAACTTTCTTTTGCATTAGTTTTTTATGTCCTACGTGGTCGTTAACCAGCAAAAAGGCTTCTGCGTTAATGTCGTTATCTAGATTTAAACCAATTTATGACTTTAATTTGCATGATTTTCATTTTTCTTACACACGTTATAGGTTTTGGAATTGGCAGAGAGACTTGCTAAATTACCTGTTACCGATGTACACGAGTATTTTCGTGGTTTTCGCGCTATTCAGGATGAACTGGATATGGAACAGTGTAAAATTCAAGTATGTGTCGTTTCTTTCCATACATGGTATTTATGTTCGCATTATTTGGTACAGAACATCTTGACGGCTAAACGTAGGTTAGAACCATGATGGTGAGAAGATGAAATATTAATAACTAATGATACTTCATGGTCTAAGTCATGGTCAGTATTGATATGTTGATTATAATGGCAGTGATTTTGCTGCTGCTTGGTTATTTTAGCTATTAGACAAAAAGAGCTCTGGACGATTTTGGTTATAGGAAAGGGTGTGCTATATGCGCGAGGATTTACCAGTTCAACTCTCACGTTTGCGGTCTTTTCGGGAAAAGTTGATTCATTTAAAGCAAAAGATTCAGAATGCTTTGAAGAACTATCAGAATAATCAGGAGCAATTGTGGGCGTCGCTTAAACAAGTATTTGTGTGGTTAACACCAATCTGTTATTTTCGTTATTTTGGATTATCGTAGTTTTGCAATGTAAACATCCATATAATCGGTTTTATTTCGGCTGAAACTCTCAGTGGTTTCCCCACTGAGCAGCACTTTGAAAAATTTTCCTTCAGAATGCACCAAATATTCACAATCGTTTGGTGTGTGTGGCGCAGCAAATGGAAGAGTTGAATTACCTTAGAGCCGCTCACAAGCTAACACTTGCCAAGTCAGAGATCAAGAAAGCAATAAATGTTTCTAACTTCTTTGCTCTATATGACAATATCCAGTCTTTGAAGCAAAACACTAATGTGGATTCGCAGTTGGTATGTACATCTTCTGTAATGGAAAAAGTTTCTAGGCAGTATCTAAAAACGAATCAGAAATGCAGTTGAAGAGGGTTTGCCATTACCAATATATTTGAATGTAAGTGGTTCGCCTGGATATAAATTGAGGAAACAGGGGTATAAAAACAAATGCTCGACGTTTTTTATGCAGAGCTGTTCAGGATGAAAACGAATCTAAAGATATTGATAGAATCAGGAAGCAATTGCTCAGTGAAACGGAACAACTTATTTCCGGTTCTCTCAAAGATTTGCTGAAAAAAATCCATTATCCACTTGAAGAAGCTATTGATCCCAAGACTCATCAGAAGTTAATTCAACAAATTGCTACTTTGCTAAAATGTATCAGTATTTTGGATAACAGTAGTGTCACTGCGCACTGTGATAGGTATGATTTTTGGAAACTTTTATTTGTTCTACGTGCACTCACTATGCAATAAGAATTTTAAGGTTTAGAGTAAAAATGTTAGAAGGACATAACCTTGTTTCTGTCACACTGAAACTACAAGGTTTTAATTGGTCTTATTTAAGATCGAAATTACTGACGGAACTAGTTGCTCCAGTAGAAAGGCGATTTCAATATCACTTTTTCACGGAGCAAAAAACAAATGATCCATCTAAACCAGAATGGTTTTTTACACAGATACTCAATTGGATAACAGCAAATATCGATCTAATTAACGCTATTTTCCTACAAATTTTTAAGGATAAAGTAAATTTTAATTTTTTTCCCGTTTGCTAAAGAGAGTAAACAACATTTGGCATTATCCGGGAGCACGGAGTTGGGAAGAATTCATGAGTTGCTTTTTTTTTATTAAACCTATAAGTTTTTCTTTTTTAAGACTGAGCAAAATGAAATGATGCATGAATATGTGAATAAACTGGTGAATTTGGCACAGAAAAAAGTGCAAAATATTCTTAAGAAAGTACAGGACGATCCTGAACTATTTTCTCATCTTATCGATGAATGCGTCGCCTTCGAAAACGAGTTGAAAGGTAAGGTATCCTCTTTCTTTTCTGTTATGCAATATCAGTGTTTCTCTACCTCCTAGAATGTCAATGTCTCTGTGTTTCTTCGAATACCAGTGTCTTTTCCTCTTCAAATTTCATTGCCCATCATTTCTAGTGAGCTCATGATATTCAGATATTGCTTTTCCTATACGTCCGGGTAATGTGCTGGCCGTTTTATGCGAAGATATTTATTTACTGAAGTGGCTACAGCTCGAACGTGAGGGCTGTATCGCAGGAGTAGAAAATGTGCTTTGTGGAGAAGACTGCTGGAACAATCGGTATCAAACTTTCTCAGACATCGACATGGTATCATGCACTTATATATTTTTTGAAGCCATTAGTAAGCATTTATAGATTTTGATTTTGAACGTCAGGAGCACATAGAAAAAAGATAAAGAATTATTTCAGCAACAAGTACCAGAATGTACTGATCAATTCCTTTTGATGATCGAATCAATTACAGAACGTTATCGCTGGATAGAGAATGTGGATGTGCAGTCGCAGTTCCTGAACGTACAGGTAAATGTGGTTTGGCCATTTGCTGAATAGTAAGAAAAGAAAGGAACTTAAGCAAGTTAATGTTGGAAATCATGTTGCTTCAATGGCTTTTCACACATCATTATTGTATATGAAAGGTTAGATGCAGTGTACAGCAGTTACTGCCAGATACTCCTGCGACAGCGTGAAAAAGTTGCTGTTATGAATCTCTTGAAGAAGACAGTATCAGCTGCTTACTTATAGATATTCATGTTGGATGATTTCCGATTACGCCTTGTACATATATCTCAACAGCTTACCTCTCCGTGGCAAAAGCCGTTTATTCAAATCTTAAACTCTGCCTGGTATGCTTAAAATTAAGTGATTCGCATTTGTTTTCTGGGATTGAAGAATCTAAATTTTAATTGTAAGCAGAAAAAAGTGGGCTTGTAAATATTTTTGGAAGAGATATTAACAATAACAATAGAATTCCATGAACTGCTTTTGAACCATCAAAAGGCTGCTCTTTGTTGTTATTTTTGAGTAGAACTGTAATGAAAACATTAAATAATAGAAATGCAGGCAGTCCGAACAAATTATTTTGTTTAGCACCATTCATTATTCTGGCCAGCTGCATAGTTCCATTAGTATAGGTACGTAGCTTATGTGTTGGATGAATGGAATGAAGTGGACATATTTATACGTATTCAAGCACTAGGGG